TTGATTCTATATATGGAAAATGTATGAATGTGTTATAATTCTCCATGTATAATATCTAATTATTAGAGGTTGTATTGACCTTGTCCCCCTCCCACTGCTACAGCATGGAAAATAAATTTTTGTGGGGTTTGCCCCTCTGTCCCCTTTCCAGCGTCTTCCCCCTGCATCCCCTTCTCATCAGGCCCTGCTTCCTTTGAGTACATGGAAGTGAGGGGCAAATTTTGAAAACACTGATTTTGAAATAAATATGCCTGTAGTAATTTGTATATTACTATAGGTAGGAACCCATAGACTTAGTTCATCCGGAATTAATGTATTTTAATTTTTTGGAAACTACTGCAAGTTTTAGCATAAGTAATCCATGAGTACACTTCTAGGCAACACTTTTGTACGTACTTATACGTAATACAAACTATGCGTGATATTAGTCCACAGCCAAAATGCTCATGGTTTATCATATAATTTATTGAGCTGGGCCTCAGCAGTCAACAGTGTTTTAAGCCAAGGGATCCCACAGCTCAGCATTGCTAAGTGTGTGTGTTTATTCCAGATACTCCGAAGGATCCGTGTACTAATTAGCCACCCACACATGACTGGAACCAGGTGTTCTTGTCCTGACTCCTGAAATCCTCCAAAAATTTATAGGTAGATGAGGTACAGGGCAGTCTGATCTGCCTCATGTGATCGAGGGGAGGGCCACACAAATCATATGCACCAGGATGAGAGGAGGTGACAGAGGGATTCTTGGTGAGCTGTTTGAGTCCCCATTTGGTGAAGTTTGCCAAACATTGAAGGCTAATGAAGAAACAGGAATCATTGGAAATGTGAAAGAAAGGTGCAGCTGAGCTGTGAGAGTGAAGAGGAAGTCAAAATATATTTAGTGTAATGGCTCACTAGGACTTAAAAAAGAGTTGGGGACTGAGCACAGTGTATGTTACCGTCTATCTTATTCAGATGCACTGCTCTATCAGTATGTTTGCCCAGCATGGACTTTACAGATGTGCTCAGTGTTGGCTGCATTTAGTCAACTTCATAGTTGGCTTCCATTACTGAGTACATTTTGCAGTAGTTTAATGATAGATAATGTATTAAATGAAGTTTCTTTGTCTGTGAATATAAGACGAGGGGCTTTCCCCCCACCCTTGCTGACTGGGGAAAAAGACCTTATCTTGTATTCAAGTAAATAGGGTATTTCTTCTACAATGTCTGAATAAAAAATATAAGAGCATTAAAATAATAATAGATAATGATGATGGTGATAATGAAAATTATCAGCTCAAAATGTCTGCAATGTGCACCGTACACGATAGTCATGAATTAGTAAGAGTACACTGTTTATTCTCATCAACAGATTAAACAGTAGTGATGTTGATGGGGAGCCTATGTATATTCAAATGGTGACTGCACTTGTTCTGCAACTTATTCAATGCGTTGTGCACCTACCATCAGCAGAAAAAGATTCAAATTCAGAAGAGGAGTCAAACAAAAAAGTAAGACACCTTTTAAAGAGATACAAACTTGTTCCATAGAAGAATATGTACATGTATTTGCATACATAAATGTGTGAGTTCATTATTATATGTGTGTGTAAGTAATATTTTCTGACAGTTATCCACCAAGTCGTGTATTGTCTTCCATAATTGCTTGCAGAACTGAAAATGGTGATTTGGAAGTAATGCTTTCATGTTATTGTATGTTAGACAAACTGATTTTGCTTGTTTTTAGGTGGATCAAGATGTCCTTATAACTAACTCCTACGAAACAGCTATGAGAACTGCCCAGAACTTCCTTTCCATTTTTCTTAAGAAGTGAGTAGAATCATATTTTTAGCTGAGTGTAGTTACGTTTGGTTTGTAATTGCAGTCTTAGCTGTCAGTGCCCATTATAAACTGTAAGTTGACATTTAGAGTGGCAAAATTTTAGAGGAAATTTTTAGAGAGAAAAATGAAGATGTAATCAGATAGTTTGTGAAATTTTCTCCTTATAAGTAGAATTTGCATTACTTTAATTCATTAATTCCAGCATGCAAGCTCCAGGCAGGCAGCAGCAGCAAACGCTGTCTGGTGTGGCAAGCAGGGATGCTGCAGCTGCTGCTGCCGCAGTGCAGCCCCGACAGGTGAGCCTGGAGCGATGCGGGGCCCAGGCTGGCAGTGGGGGTGGGTTACAAGCTGGTGCTGAGCACAGGGGAAAAGCAGCCCCTTGTCCAAAGCCCCTGCCCCCCAGCCCGGCTGGCAGCAGCTACCCAGGGCCAGGGCTGGCTGCAACTGGGAGGCTGCAAATGGCTGCTGCCTCCCAGCCCCGGCCCCAACGTGTACCGAGGAAAATGGCCTCATGGGCCATGCTCGCATGTGTGCTGGGGGTTGCTGACCTCTGAACTACAGAATCTGATGTCCATTCTTTCTGTGCAGACCGTAAATATACATCTTTTTTAATGTGGTGTGGAACATTAAGAAGGCCTATCTTCACTTGTCCTACCTAGTTGAGGATGATTCTTTCTATTGATATTTCAGTTCTGTTCTGTTCTTCAGGATAATAGAAAACTGTTTTTTGATTAGCTATGTTTATATTTTGTATCATGAAACCATAATATAAAATATATTGCTAAAATAACATTTTAATTGCTTTCTTTTAAACAGGTGTGGTAGTAAGCAAGGGGAGGAGGATTACAGGCCACTGTTTGAGAACTTTATTCAAGATCTTCTTTCTACAGTCAACAAACCAGAATGGCCAGCAGCTGAATTGCTCCTCAGCTTATTAGGAAGACTGTTGGTAAGAAACCACTGCAAAATCATTACAGTGCTCTCTTCATCATAAAGGAAGACTGGTTATTTTGACTTACATGATAGGATCACATCTTTGAATGTTTGTGTATAGTACATGTTGCATAATGAACTTTCTGCTTAGCCAGGTCAATATATTCTGTAACAGTGAGGTCCTTCCCCCACCTTTGTTTACCCTTGCTCCAGGAGGCTGTTCCCACTGCTGCCCAGGGCACAGAGTATGTTTGCTCTAGCCCCAGCCTGGCCCTGTAGCAGCAGTGGTGGCAATTTGGTGTGGGCCTGCTGCAGTGGTGCCAGGTAGTAGAGCAGAAGTTGCAGAGGGCCAGTGAGGCAGAGGTATTAGGGGTGCAGGCAGCAGTTGCAGTTCCTTCCCCAACACTGGGTCAGAGCAGGACTAGAGCCAGAGCTACAGTAACTGCTTGTCCTTCTGCCACCTCATACTCATTTCCATGTTAAGTGGGGAAAAATTCCATGTTAAGTGGGGGAAAAAACTGTATTTGGAATCAGGTAAATATGGTAATTTGCATACAGATACTGAAATTTAGTTTGGAAAATTGATGTGATTGAAAAAACAATTCATTGATCACCATGTTGCTCACTGGATGTCACTTACTTCTGTCTATGGAAGTATTTCATGCATTGAAAACCTGCAAAAATTAATGTTGGACAAAACCATCCTGATTGCTGTAGCTGTTCACATTGGTTTTTTCCCCATAGCTGATAGTTCAGTACCAAACACCAAAACGGATTATTCTGTAGTTTAGTCTTCTAATAAGTATCATACGTTAACTTGGAGAATGCTATGATTTATAGTAAAGAAATTCAGTGTATTAATGGATGTGTAATGTGTGAATTTCATGGGTTACACTATGGTATTTGAGGACTAAAGCAGTTTATAGGTCTGTTCCTGGACAGTACCACAGATATTGTATATGTATAGATGTGTTCCAGGTTAACTTAACTGGATTTATATTTCACTGGTGTATGTCATGCATAAAGTATGTTTGACTGGTGCAGGATAAGCATGCATTAAGTATCATATTATTCTATGTAGGATAAATAGTTCAATCAAAATTTTCAATAACATCTCTGAAATAGGTTCAGGGAAGGGCCCAATGAAAAAGAAAAAGATATTAAAATATTGTGTATGTGGCTATTGTAAATTAAATAACTTATGCACTCCGTGTTATTATTTTAATATTCAAGTAAGATCAAGTAACACACACACAAACACAAATAAGTGGATAACATTTTATCATGTTTTTACTAGGTTCATCAATTCAGTAACAAGTCTACAGAAATGGCTTTGCGGGTGGCATCACTCGATTATCTTGGGACTGTAGCTGCAAGATTAAGGAAGGATGCAGTCTCTAGCAAAATGGATCAAGGATCCATTGCCCGAATCTTGAAACAGGTATTATGAGATGCAGTGTGATTTGGTGCCTGCATAATAATAGTGAAGTGGTTGCATTAAAAAGACTAACGTGCTGTGGTAACATGAAGTGGCATTTGGGGAATCTGTTTTATTACCTTTCAAAGACAAACTCAGTTGAGACTTGAGTTTCAGCTGGCTTCTTTCAACCTCATATATTATCTTTAGTAGTAAAAGTTTTGTTGGCCATGTTAGGCCTGCAGTTATATCTGTGAAACCAGGAATGACTGTGTTGAGTGGATTGGAGCTACTGAACACTTTTCTTGAAAGGCTAATGCTTGCAAAAAATAGAATTCAGCCCATTGTTTTTACCTAAAAAGTATAAAAATGGTGCAAAAATGACTAGTCATTAACTAGTAGACTTGTTTGACTACACAAAAAGAGTAATCTGTTCAGTGAGTTGATGACACTCCTTAGATTTTAGATAATGAAACTAATAGTTGTAGGTTCAAGTCTTATATTTCTCCGCACTCATAGGACTTGTTTGGAACTGTTGATTTAGATGTGCCTATAGATGTTACTGATCCGAAGTACATCCAGTTTTGTGAGGGAGGCAGCAGCTATCAGTACAGATTGCAAGAATATTCTCAAAATATAGAGATAGGCTGTCTTTAAAATGTGGAAGGATTTATATCTTTTTCTACCTGGACCTGTTCATGGTTAAAAGTTGCCATTCTAATTGACAAGTAATGCCAATTTCACTCCCAAACTTGGGGAACAGCAGTCTGAAATTGATTTTTAACTTCATGGGAGAATGAATGAAGACATTAAACACCTTTAGATTCTTTGGAAATTCTTGAGAATGAAGAACATTTATCCCCTTTCAGGACCAGAACTCAGAGCAGAATCCCTCTCACTGAGCCACCTTTTCTTTATTTGGCCTTCAGGCTGTCTAGTGGTTCAGCTTTAAAAAGAGGGCTGTAGAAACCTATGGGCAGGACTTAGCCCAAGGTTTGATGGCCTTTTAGATCCATCTTTTAGTCCAGCCCCCTGCTTAAAGCAGGATAATCCCTGCATGAATCCTCCTAGACCAGTGGTGCCCAACCTTTTTGCCCGATGGGCCAGATGAACAGCATCAGGATGGTCTGCAGACCTGATTTGATCCATGGGCACTATCTTGTGTGTGTAGCGGGAACAAGTGCAAGTGGAGTCTGATCCTGGCACAGGGCGTAATCCTGCTATATGAAGGTTTGAAATTTGGCAGAGGGGTAGTGGTGACAGTGTTAATTGCCACCATTCCCTTGTTGACAAATTCTGGAACTGTGGGTTGGCGGAGTGAGGGCAAGCATTGAGCACCCTTGTCCTAAACCATTGTTTGTCTAACCTTTTGTTAAAATTTTGAGGTTGGGGATTCCACATCCTCTCTAGGTAGTCTTTTCTAATGTTTAACAGCCCTCATAGTGAGAAATTTCTTCTTAATATCCAATCTGAATTTTCGTATAATTTAAGAACATTTTTCCTTGTCCTGTCCCCTACAGCTACAGAGAATAGTTTATTGCCATCCTCTGTATAAACACCCTTCACATATTTGAAGACTGTTATGATCTTCACTCAACCTTTTGTTCTGCAGGCTAAATAATCCTGTTTTTTCAGCCTTTCCTTTTAAGTCCCATTTCCTAAAATTTTTTCACCTTTGTTGCTCGGTCTGATTTGTCCATGTTTTTTTTTTTGAAGTGCAGTTCCCAAAATTGTCTACAGTGTCTGTGAACAACGCATGTAATGTTGAATATAAACTTCCTTGATTAAACCATGTGTTAAGACTTTTGTAATTACTTGCATTTTTTGAATAACCAACAAAAGTATGCACTTGTATATTATTTTAATGGGTTTGTATGCATTTGTGTGTTGATTTTATAGTTATATTTTCAGCTCTGAAATATTCTGTCATGATTACATATTTATTACAGGTTTCAGGAGGAGAGGATGAGATCCAACAACTGCAAAAGGCATTGCTGGATTATTTGGATGAAAACACAGAGACAGATGCATCATTAGTGGTAAATTTCAGTTTTCTAGAGTTAAATATATATAAATATCACTTAATCAAAAGGTAATTTATTAAGTCACTTGTTTCTGAAACAAGCCTGCTGTGGTTACACACCACCCACTCCTAAGTGGAACTCTTAGACCTATACTACCAGATATCCATCCTAGTACTTAGAGTAGAGTTGGCCTGAAATATTTCAATTTTACGTTGATCAAGAACTTGTTTTCATTACCTTCAGTATCCAGCTAATGTGGTAGCTGATTCATGTAGACCAGGGGTGCTCAACCCTCAGCCTGTGGATCAGTTTCAGGCCATGGAACTATGTAATCCAGGTATCCCCACAGGTCCAGAAATGTGGTGGTGGGGAAATGGTTGCAGTTCACACTGTCAATTCCCCCCACCTCCCACTGCCAAATTTCCTAGTCCTATGCAGCTGGATTGGCCCTGGCCAAGCCTGCCTCATGCAAAGGGATTGCGTCCAGCTGGACCAACTTGGGGCCTGAAGCAGCTACGTGGAAACAGATGAGCTGGGGCGTGATGCACCCACACAGAAACAGCCTGCCTGGAGCTTGATGCAGCCACTTGGAAGTGGCCCCCCCTCAGGCTGTTCCTGTGTGGTTGCATTGGGTCCTGGCCTGGATCCTGCTGGACCCTACATGCTGGATTGGGCCCATGGACTGGATCCTCCCTGTGGACAGACTGGGCACTGCTCATCCAGCCCACAGGCTGAAAAGGTTGGGCACCACTGACCTAGACTGTATTAAGAAATCATTCAGGAATGCCATGCAGACTTCAATATAAATTATTTAACATGTTTCTTTTTTGTCTTCAAAGTCATAAAAGAAAGTGTTGAATAGTATTCAACCCAGAGCTGATATATGCCTAGGTTCAACATAACTTCCTTTCACCCTGGAACAGAACAGTTAATAATCCCCCTTTTGTTCATTTTTCCCTGGCCACTTTGTTGCACCTCTCCAGTTTTCCAGGAAGTTTTATATAGCACAGTGGTTCCGTGACACAACAATGGAGACAGAGAAAGCAATGAAATCTCAGAAGGATGATGAAGCATCTGAAGGAACTCACCATGCCAAGGATGTTGAGGCAACAGGACAAATAATGCACAGAGCAGAAAGTCGTAAAAAATTTCTTCGTACCATCATTAAAACTGCACCATCTCAATTCAGTACATTAAAGTAAGTTTCAGCAATTCTTGGTTTTATTTATTTGTTAATTGTAAATTTGACTTGCATGTGTTCTTCTTTCTTAATAAGTAAATCTCAAGAATTTGTTAACTTTGTTTCAGGATGAATTCTGATACTGTGGACTATGAAGATGCTTGCTTGATTGTTCGCTACTTGGCCTCTATGAGGCCGTTTGCCCAGAGCTTCGATATTTATTTGACACAGGTAAACTGTGCCAGAAGTCTTAATACAGTGAAATACAGTTGGTTTCCTGATTCCAAACACTTATGGGGTAGTGTGCAATATCTGTTCATTTTTGAGCACAGGTATTTAATAGGCCATGATAACACCACATGCTTTCATATTCTTTTTAGATACCATAAGTGTTTGTTTTTTGTTCTCCTGCATGAATTTCACATATACCATATTGTACATAATATATTGTTTTCTTTGTGCATATACAAAAGCTTATCAAATTAGATGAACATAATAAAAAACTACAAAATGCTGAAACTTTTCACAATTTTATTGAAGATGCATGCTTAATTACCTCATAAATATATCTGAATGGATCATTTGTACAGCTGTTTAAATTCCAAGTTGAAAACAGAAACTAGCTTGATCATTTGTCTGCATTGCATGATGTTGTCATGCTGGCGGTCATTGTTTTACAAGATGACTTCAATGTTCCTGCTTTATGGCTGTGATTAACAAACACTGGCACCGACTTATTAACCTGGTGACGTGTTTAGACCCCAGGTAATGCTTTAGATAGATGACTTTACTTTTCTTAGATCCACTTACAGAGCACCCTTAAATTTGAGATGCACAATCCTGCTCTCCTGTCTTGGAGGCAAGAACTGCAGTGAAAACTGTATGTGGATAGGAAAATCAGAGCTTAAAGTGAAGGGGTGGACCCATATAAACCAATCTTCTGGTTATTGCATATCGCAGTGAGGGAGAATTCAGGCTTAAACATCAGAGCTGGGAAAGCATCACTTGCATGCACCCCCTTGCTCTTAGAAAGATTGTATTAGATTTTTGATAGACAATTTTTCTCATATTACTTTGAATTATTCATATTACCCTGCTACATTTTTATTTGCATTTAAGATTGGCCACTACTTTCAAAAAGGAACTAAAATGTAATTTTTGTTTTCTTATTAGATTCTACGTGTACTTGGTGAAAATGCAATTGCTGTTCGAACAAAAGCCATGAAGTGTTTGTCTGAGGTTGTTGCTGTAGACCCCAGCATTCTAGCCAGGGTAAAAAAAGGAAACTACCTGTAATGTATATACTTACTTTTATTCATGCTTAAAAGAGATTCTGTGTTTTTCTTGCTTTACGCTTCTCTTCTACTTCATTCCTTTTAGCTGGATATGCAGCGAGGTGTTCATGGACGGTTAATGGATAATTCCACTAGTGTACGAGAAGCAGCTGTGGAGTTGCTTGGCCGGTTTGTGCTCTGTCGCCCTCAGCTTGCTGAACAGTATTATGACATGCTGATTGAGCGAATACTGGTAGGTCACTTCTAAAATCAGTTTATTATAAACACATTTTCTATCTATAATTCTATTGCAAAATATCTTAGTTCCTGAGCAAATTATCTTTTATGATATCTGTTGAGAATCGTAAACAAAAAATCATGTTCATCAGGCCAACTTTGTAAAATACAACACTTTATTTTTTATCAGATTATAGTGAGTAATTAAATGCAAGTATATATAACAGCATTTATAATCAGGTAATCAGGCCACAGTCAGGTTCTGTTCATCAGTCAATATTGCTTAGCCTTCTTGTGAAGTCTGAGGTATGGCCAACGTTGAGGCAGCATACTGGTGTAACCTGGCATGGAGTAACCTTCTAGACATTATATTTGCTGATTAAATTCACATTAAATATACCTAAAAATGAACTGGTCAGAAGCTAGTCTCTGAGATGCAAATCCAATGTGCACCCTGTAAGAAACACAGTTGTAAGCTATTACATTCTGCAGTATTAGAAATTTTTGAAATCTTCAGTCACATCCCAAATATGCCACATCTCATTGCAGAAATCCAGTAAGTGGAGACAAAAAGCCATGGATAGTTTGGGCAATGCCTTGAGTTGTAAAACCATATTTCTGCCTCCTGACCAAGTGCAGTTTTGGAGGGAGCAAAAGTACTCTTGCTAAACCTGTTACATGAATGTTGAGAAGCGGGCAGGAATTTAAGAGAGTCTTCCAGCTGCAAACCTAAGTAAAAAAGGATGGGAACACTCCCTCAATTGAAAAGTCGGATCATTTCTATTCTTTTAGTTATTTTTATGAATATTATCTTCATCTGGTCTGAGAATTTCATCTATGTAGGGTTCTTTTAGACATTGAAGAGTTGCACTTTGAAGCTGGCGAAATAGAGATTTAGAAGTAGGAGTGATCTATGTTCTGTTGTAGCCTATACCATCTGACTACCTTTGCCTTATTTACATGATGACTAGAAAAGAGCTTCCTCTATTCCATTTAGGGAAAGACTTCAATGCTAATGATTTTAAAATTGGAAAATGTCAGATGATTATTTATTGGCATCATATTGTGTTCTAACTTAAATCAGATATATTTGGTACATTGTCTCTGGAAAGTAACCTAAAATATTGTGATTTACAGTGTAGATGTGTAGTGACCTCTTGATTGTATTCCTTTACTGCAACACGGGATGTGTTTTTCAGTGTCAACTGGCTGTTGTACAAGATGGCTAGAAAAGGGAGTGAGTGGTATCTCTGTTAGGGTGTAGAATTTATGAAGCTTTGAAGGGATTTTAGCTCTCAGTAGTGAGGAAATTCCCTCTCCTGAGGGAGAGTGTAGCTTGAAGTAATATGTCATTATTCTTAGGACTCCAACCATGCTGCAGTTGTTGTATTTTCAAGTCAAGCTTGCCACATTTTAATTATTATTAATTTATACTTCTGTCTTTTCAAACATGTTTTTCGTTTCTTACCAGGATACCGGTATCAGTGTCAGAAAGAGAGTCATAAAGATTTTAAGGGACATCTGCATTGAACAACCAACATTTCCCAAGATTACAGAGATGTGTGTGAAAATGATTCGAAGAGTCAATGATGAAGAGGGCATTAAGGTAGGGCAGGTGTTTTTTTCCCTCCAAGTTACTTATTTTTTTACCTTTTCTTATTTTGATATATAACAAGTTAAAAAACTTTTTCCTTAAAAGCATTTGGAGCCCTTTAACATAAGTGTGGGGATTTTTTGGCTTTGGAAATTTAATGGAAAACTTTCAAAAGTAAATTGTTTTGCTAGCTAGGTTACTGCCAGACATATATTATGTTTGCTTACTCTCTATGTTTCCTTAAATTAAAATGTTTAAAAAATAAAACGCATTTTAGACAATTTTTCCATTTGAAAGTATTATCTGTGTTCCAGGTCTCTGTATGTGTGTTTATTGAAATAAATACGATAACCAGCAAAAATATAATGTCATTATTTAATTTGCAGAGTCAGACATTGAAATGTTAGGAAATACTGCCCTCATATGTTCTTTGCCACCTTAGCTCTTTATTCTTTGTTCATCTGTTTTGTACAATGAACAAAGCAACACTCTCATGAAAACAGTATGTGATCATATAATTTTAGATTATCAATGTTTTTGCATAATGGGATAGGATTTAGTTTGGATGGACAACTCTAAAACTGGCATTTGCTGACTTCAGTGTTTGTCTTTACAGCATAATTATCCCCAGGCCAAATATTAAAGGCCTGATGCAATCAATGGAAGTGCAAAGGTTACAAAAGTATTCTGTACGAACAGTGTTAAGCGAGCTTAAATATGGAGATTGCGACCATATCCTCCTATAAAATACTTAATAATTCCTACCAAATACAAGCAAGAATTTTCACTGAAACATGTGACATCCTTTCATATGAGAAGGGCAGTTAGTTGAATAAATTAGTTCTTTCTTTTCTGTATAGGTGAATTTTTGTATTTTTCACCAAGGGGGTTCCAGTATTGATTTCTGTGTAGTGTGGCTTTCCAGTCTTCATGTATGACTTATCCAAGCATCCTGTCAGGCAAGGTGATCTCAGATGCAGTATGAAAATTTCTAATAACACAGGCCTAGTCTGAAATTCAGTTTTTAAGGTAGCACTTGCTTAGTAAGCATCTTACTAGAAGGCCTCAGCCAACTTAAAATAGTTCTATGTAAAATGGCATGTAATTCAGGATGTCCAGAAAATAATATGGACCTAAGTGTATATCAACAAAAGGTTAAATATCTGTGACAACTTTTTTCTTTTCAGAAACTGGTGAATGAGACATTCCAGAAGCTCTGGTTTACTCCAACTCCACACAATGACAAAGAAGCCATGACCAGGAAAATATTAAACATCACTGATGTGGTATGCCTTACATATTTGAATTGAGGCACATGCATCACTTCATTAGGATTTTGTAACAGGTTTTTAAAATAAATTTCAATTATAATCAAGTCACTGAAAAATGTGACAGTTTTAAAATCTTGTATTTTTAGTAACAATTGCTGTTGCATCTGACAAGAAAGGCTTCTAGAGAAAAGTACTCATCGGTTTGTTGGCAGTGAAAATGGGTCTCACATTATATTTTAATTTAATAAAGTATATTCATGTAAGCTTAACAAAAATCTTGTTCCAATACTTAGCTTTAGCCTGAGTTTGATATGATAGTTACCTTTCGAATTCAATGGATAGTTCAGATGCAGGAAAAGTTGTTCTTCAACATATAGATTTTGGAAGCACCTGTACTATGATAAATGCTACTATAGTTTATATATTTGAATTGAAATATAGTTGAAATATAGTTTTCAATTCAAATGTCCTGATATCTTGTAATTGGGATAATTTTAGTAAAATAGAAAAAAGAAAAGTCTTTGTTCTACTTTAAATTGTATTCTGTATTGTGATAATTTAATTGCCTTTCTATTCAAATTTTTATTAATGTT